CACGAGGCCACTAGCTTTTTTTGAGGAATAAATTGGATTCTCATCCTTCCTGACTAGTTCCTTAGGATTTCTTTTTTTGAGTCTACTAAGTAAAATTCTTCTCACCCATCTACACCTCAGCTTCCAAAATTTTCTGGTTATTGTCTTTTTTTAGTTTCCTTGATTTTGTAGTATTCTGCCTTTTAGGTTGATCTCTTCTTGCTGACAATAGTGCAGTGGTCGGCAAGCTCATTAGTCAATAGAGCCAAATAGCAACAGTACAACGATTGAAATTTCTTTTGAGAGTCGAAAACCGACTTCTGGGCATGGGCCACAAAGTTTCACTCGCACTCTACGTGTGCACCTCCATGTGGTATTTTGTGGAAGAGCCACATTCAAGGGGAGAGCCACATTCAAGGGGCCAAAGAGCCACATGTGGCTCGCAAGCTGCAGTTTGCTGACCACTGCAGTAGAAGGATGTCGAGATGAAGCAGAGTGTAATGTGTGTGTTCAGTACTGTCTTTAACTGAAGGTCCTGGGCATTTAACTTGAACAAACTTTATTTTACAGGAAAAAGAGAGTACTTGGTAGGGGAATTGGAAGAATTTTCTCTGCCTTCCTAATTATACTGAAAAGTAAATGAAAGAACTTTTGATATTGAGGTGATTTCTCTCATCTTCTAGGACTTTCTATCTCTTCTGAACATCTTTCTCAAAGACTTCGGACACCTACGTCTATCAGCAAAGCTGTGTCTGGCGGCAGGGCTGATCTGTGCCTTATAACCCAAACTGCGTCACCAGACAATCCTGGTCCGCAGAGTACCCGAAGGGAACGTGCTGATGAGAAGACTTTGCTTTCAGATATTCCTGAAGACAGGTAGTTCTTTAATGTGTTATTAAGAGTTTAATAGATACTGACATTAAATACTATTTCAGATTGTTAACCTGATAAAGTATGCAAGACATATTTTTAATTTCACAGTGTTCATATTACTTTGAAATAGGGGAAACAAATGAAAGTTACTGTTTTGTTTTGTTTTTAATCCTTACCCGAGGATATTTTTTTCATTGATTTCTAGAGAGATTGGAAGGGGAAGAAGGAAGGTGGGGAGAGAAAGAGAAATAAAGAGAAACAGACACATCAGCATGAGAGAGACACATGGATGCTTGCCTCTCAAGCAAGCCTGTATGGGGGCTGGGAACCTGTAACCAAGGTATGTGCCCTTGGCTGGGAATTGAACCCTCTACCCTTGGTCTGTTGGCTGACGCTCTAACCACTGAGAAAAATCATCCAGGGCAAAAGTTGTTGTAATTAAATAATTCATGGAGTAACTTTTAGAATTTTTTTTTAAAACACATCCTCTTTCTTTTATTATCTATGTATTTTAGTCAGCTGAACATCTTGTCTCCAACTATTATCAGACAGAAAGGAAAATAAACATTTAATAATAACTAGGCATAGAGGAAACGATGGGCAACAGAAAGAAGTATACCAAATTAGGACAGGGAGCAGAATTGGTGCTTGCTAACATTGGCAATGGGAGAATATATTCAAAACTAGAAAATGAAATGTAGAACTGAAACATGGTTGATGAACATATTACCCTTGTCCCCAAGGATCACAAGAAATGTTTCTCTAACCTCTATTTCAAGTTGTAGGAAATAGGAAAACTCGCCAAAACTGGTTTGGCTCAGTGGATAGAGCATCGGCCTGTGGACTGAAAGGTCCCGGGTTTGATTCCAGTCAAGGGCATGTATCTTAGTTTCGGGCACATCCCTAGAGGGGGTGTGCAGGAGGCAGCTGATCAATGTTTCTGACTCTGTCGCTCTCTCTTCCTCTCTGTAAAAAATCAATAAAATATATATATTTTTAAAAATGAAAGAAATAAGAGAACTACATGTCTTGTAGGAGAAATGTAAGCTTCCTGAAGCACTAGCCTTACATAAGACCTAACCACTTTTCAAGGAGGTGGTACATCAAGCATGGCAAATTCAACGGCTAACATGGGCCAACTTAAGTTTATGTGGGCCACAAAAAACCAAAAGCTTCAATTTTCATAGAAACATAGGCTTATTCCTATAGAAACATGCTGAATACAAAGGGCTGAAATAAATAAGTAATCCTTAACATAAAATAATAGAACATTAGCTTACCAGACACTGAATTACAAATAAATCCATTTGTAATTAACTTACCAGACACTGAATTACAAATAAACCCATTTTTCTTGTTCTCCAAAAGCAAAATATTTCCTGTTGTGCACACCAACAAGTCAGTCCAAGATTAATGACGTGGCAATTGGCTGCTAAAATATTTGCTGCTAGTATTAGTGGAGTGTAATGGTGTGTCTGTGCATAAGGCACAAAAGGGAAATGAATGCAACACGATTATAGTAATTAGTCATTAGCGAACGTTGTAGTTTGTTATTAATAACTAGAGGCTCAGTGCATAAAATTTGTTCACGGGTAGGGTCCCTAGGCCTGGCCAGTGATCAGGGCCTATTGGGGCCTTCCTTCCTTCTGCACTGCCCTCTGGTGGTCAGCACAAGTCATAGCGAGCGATCGAACTCCTAGTCTCTTGGTCAAACTCCTGGGGGGATAATTTGTATATTAGGCTTTCGTATATGTATATGTATATGTATATACACATGTATATATGTTATGTATAATAGGATATTGTAAAAATTAAATTACAAAACTTTTATTAAAACCTTCTTGCATACTGTTATAATGGCTGAGCTGCAAAAATATTGGTTGTGGGCTGCATGTGACCCATGGGCGCTGCAAATTTGACATGCTTGGTGTACATGGTAAAGATTGATAGGAAGTACAGAGTGAAAACAGCCAGGGGCACATTTTATAAGGCCATCATGCCTAATGGGTATTGGGTGCTACTGTCTGTCCTTCATTAGTATGTGTAGATCAGACCTTGAAGGTGATCTGTCTAGGAGTCACCCATGCTTCTCTCCCTGGCTACTCTCATCTGCTTTTGTTGGTAGAGTCTGCAGGGCTGGCCTCTGGAAACCAAGAAGCCTCTCTAGTGGGCTTCTACTTTCCCTCTGATCTGAATTGTTGGGAGTGAGTACTTGTATGTGGCCTGAATCCCTTCTATTTAGGGATGGTCTGAAACACATGTGTCAAACACAAGGCCTGCGGGCCAAATCCGTCCTGCCAGGCCTTGCAATGTGGCCCGCACCGCGCTGTCATCACTGCACTCCGCTGCGTTTCCATCACAATGACAGTTTATGACTGTTCAGTAAACCATTCGGCCCGCGATTTAGGCTGGATTTTAGATTTTGGCCCCTTCTCTGATTGAGTTCGACACCCCTAGTCTGAAAGAAAAAATCCCCAGTCCAGAGGAGGCAAATGCAGTTCCGTAAGATAAGCCATGAGCGGAAGCTGGTGAAGGGGTTTCAGTATGAGTCTCTGGGAGTGCTCCTTCCCTGAAGGCCTCTGGCTCCTTGTCCCACGCTACTAAAGCCAGCCACCCTATAAGAGAGAGATGCCACTGAGGAGGATGGACTGATCACTTGACTGCTATGCTGAGAACTGACGGTGTTCGGGAAGTAATATCCACTGGTCGAGGTGTGGTCGGCCTGCTTCTTTGGTTCCAACTTGTGATTCCTTCAGGATGGCTAGAAATTTCTTTAGTTCTCTTATTCTCTTTCCTTAAGACTGATAGCTCTTTGTTCTGGTCAGGCCTGCATGGCTGCGCCTCCTGCATGGCTGCTTCTAACTTGGTAATTCTGTGTTTATAAAAGTCAATGAGGAGATCTGTTTGTCTTCTGGAAACTTCACAGCTGAGAGATCTGACTAAAATGCTACAAAGCTGTCTCCACAGGGTCTTTGAAGTATATCTTCTCCTGAGGTTTCAGATTATCCGAAAGAGTCAGTCATGGGGCAGGTTTTAGAATTTTTAATTTTTTATATAAACCAAAGTATATTTAGTCTTTGTGGGGACTAAAATATTTTAGATGTTCTAGAAATCTAAGAATTATAAGATACCAATTTATTGTCATTTCTTAAATGCAAGTTATATTACTTTGTTTGTATGTCCTGTAGTTTATTATCTTGTTCTAAGAAGATCCATATTTTATTTAAGTGATTAGTACAGGTACTCTTTAAAACTTTTTTTTGCTTAATTCCAAAAAATAGTCCAGAAAGAAAGTATCTTGCAAATAAATGACTTCTTGCAATGAAGGCAAAGTGAGGTCGAAGACTAGAAAAATTGAGTATATTAAAAAACGCACACAAAAAAACCCCACAACTTACATGAGGTTGAGACAGATATTTTTTTAAAAATTGCAAGTTAAGAACTTCAGTATTATGTATTATGTATTCTAAAACAAACAAGTAAATGTAGCCAGCTGTACAATAATTGAGTTGTCGCTTTACCCCTTCTCCTTACCCCCCAGAAGTCAGCTTTCTCCTAGCCTTTCTCTAGTATGTAGCTCTGGATTTGTATGAGATTCAGAGAGTTGCTGGTGAACTGACCAGCATGAAACAAGCTCATGAGCTTTCTGGGGAAGAATGCTTTTGGGTTATAAGACCATCCTGTAGTAGCTATAGTCCTAAACTAATCTATTTGGATCAGGCCTGATCTTGGACCAGGCGCCATCTTTGACCATAAAGAATAGTCTTAAACACAAAAGCTTGCAATATGCTTGATTATCTGAGTACAATACTATCTTTTTCTTTTTTTCAGGAACAGCATGGTAGAAGATGCTCAGTGTCCTAGATTACCGGATTTAATTGAAGTAAACCATGTAAGACCTGTTCTAGTGTACTAGACTGCCCAGCATATTACTTACTTACACAGTTACACATAGCAACTCCATAAAAAGCCCCCAGAATTTCCGTTAGAAATCTAAAGTCAAGCCTGGCCGGGGTGTGGCTCAGGTTGTGGGCTCGATCCCCAGGGGAGAGCATATAAGAGGCAGCTGATCAGTGATTCTCTATCATCATTGATGTTTCTATCCCTCTCCCTTCCTTTTTCTGAAATCAATAAAAACATACTTAAAAACTAAAATAAAATCAGTTATGTTAAATGATAGTTCTTGTTTTAGCTTCTTTGAGACCATAGTGACATTTTGTATTTTCCAACTCACATCAATATTATTTTTGTAAATTATTTTCTTATAGCATAGCCGAATTTGTTTGTTTATGTCTTTATCTGGTTGCTTTTGCAATAGAATAGAGTTGAATAGTTTTTTGTGTTGTTTTGTTTTGTTTTTTATGTATATATTTTTTATTCTTGATCTTTCCCTACCCTTTTTCTCCTAAGACAACAGGTGTCTTCCCTGTTTCTTTTTTTTTTTTTTTATAAACATTTTTTTTTTAAAATATTTTATTGATTTTTTACAGAGTGGAAGAGAGAGGGACAGAGAGCTAGAAACATCGATGAGAGAGAATCATCGATCAGCTGCCTCTTGCACACCTCCTACTGGGGATGTGCCCGCAACCAAGGCACTTGCCCTTGATTGGAATCGAACCTGGGACTTTTCAGTCCCCAGGCCAATGCTCTATCCACTGAGCCAAATTGGTCTCGGCTAGAGTTGAATAGTTGTGGCAGAGACCCTATGGCTCAAAAAGTCTTAAAAAGATTAACTGTTTGGCACTTCACAGAAAATGTTTGCCAATCTCAAGTGAATACAGATACTAGTTGAGAAACTTTCCTCCAATCATACTGCTGCTATAATATTATCTGGACTCATTATTTAAGGAGAAAATAGTAGGATTTACAGTGTTCATTAGCCTGTGTTCAGAATATTGTCCTTCTGTTTTTATTATTTTTAATAGCAAAATGATTTTTTATAATTGTATCATTGTTTGATAATTAAATATAATCATTTTTATTTCCAGGTTGTAAGTAAGATAAACTTTGAGATGGATTGTTTACCCAGTGAAAGAATGAGCTTGCCTCTACTTGCTGGTGAAGTGGCATGTAATATTAATACTACCAAAACAGAAGAAATTTCAGATGTTGTGGAAGGAATGGAACTAAATTCTTCAATGACAACACAGGATGTTTTGATGAGTAGCCCTGAAAAAGATATACCATCACAATATAATATCTCAGAGAAAGAAGAGACTAAAATTTTTCAGTCAGGTGAGGTTTTTTTTAATATACTTAATGAGGCTTGTTAACTAAATGAAATTGCACTAATGCATAGATTATTATAAATACCTCTGGGTACAAGTTTCTAAGAATAAAGGTTGAAAAATTGGACAAAGTCGGTATTTTATGAGAATTAATTTGTGTTGTAGGGCCCCTTTCTTCACCCAAAACCTTCTGAGGTAAACTTGTTAAAAATCAACAGCAGATACTAGTCCGCATTGGACATAAGTAGCATTTTATATTAGACCTAACTTTTTTTTTTAAGTATATTTTTATTGATGTCAGAGAGGATGGGTGAAGAAGAGAGATAGGAACATCAATGATGAAAGAGAATCATTGATCAGCTGCCTCTTACATGCCTTCCACTGGGGATCGAACCTGCAACCTAGGCATGTGTCCTCACCGGGAATCAAACCATGACCTCCTGGTTCATAGGTAGATGCTCAACCCCTGAGCACACTGGCTGGGCTAGACCTAACTTTTTGGGATCCTTCATTATTTATGAAAACTATGAATTAGAAAAATTCCCTGAAGTGTTTTTTAGTTCTCTTTTCAACGCACATACATCCTCAAGCCTTTTTTCAAAATGTCCTATTTCTCTTCCCTAATGTTTTAATTCCTACCTACTTTGTTGTGATTGTTCTGCAGTAGGAAACAGCTCTTGTATTTTTGGTCCTGGGAACATGTCTGTGTAGTATCCACTTTCTCCGCCGCCATTTTTAATCCTGGCTCTTGTATTTTTGTTATAATATATGACAGTTTCACCTACTGTTTCCATCTGCTACTCTGTGGTACTGCCCTGGCTGGGGCCTAAGGCAAAACATCATTACTTTGGTCAGACATTTAATACACTCCAGCTGTGTTCTTCTTCTAGCATGTTTTACCTACCTTTACTATTACAAGCATGAGATTTGTTTATAGAAGACTCTTTAAAATACTAAAATTAAATTTTATTAAGAATGTCAAACATTTTTTTTTAAATATGTTTTTACTGATTTTGGAGAGAGGAAGGGAGAGAGAGAAATGTCAATAATGAGAGAGAATCATTGATTGACTGCCTCCTGCACATCCCCTACTAGGGATCGTCATGTGCCCTGACCAGGATGCGAACAGTGATCTCCTGGTTCATGGGTCAATGCTCAGTCATTGAACCACACCGGCAGGGCGAAAGTCAAACACATTTTTAAAAACCTTATAACATAAGATAACCTGTATTTTTGTCTTAGCATTTGATAATATGGAACTTTTCATATTTCTCAGTGCTTTATTTCTAACTGCAAGAACATTCTTTAAAAAGTTAAAAATTCTTTTTTGTTTTTCAGTATTATTTGATAATAAAGGTCTTACTACTGAATGCCATCTTCTTGAGTCAGTAAGTTTTTCAACTTAATTTGCAAAGTGTCTATGTATTAAATTTGTTTTATAAAAAGAATAGTACTCAGTTTTATTTTGTGTACAAAGTTTAAAATTTACATCTTTTCATTGTTTGTTTTTTTTACTGTGACATCCATTTGTTAACTTTATCAAAATGGAAACAAAGTTTTCATGTTTATATACTTTAAAATTCAGTAATTTTTAGTATTAAACTGAAGATTTATTTTGCCATGTGATTTATGTATCAAATTTGTTATGACAAATTGAATATTTTAATATCTAATATGTGACTTGGATTATGACAGGTATTTCTAAGTGATACAGGAAAAATGTATCTGAACTTGGGGAGATAATGTCTGTGTTACCTTCAGTCATTGGTTATTTTCATCTCATTCCTTTTAGATAACTGTATTTGGAAGCTATTTTATTTGAAAGCTCCATTGGCTTTACTTTTGGTGATCTCTTGCCTCTAAGTCTAGTTCAGACACTAGCCTTTCTGTGAAGTCTTCCTATAAAACCTCTCATCTCTCCATGTTAATTAATGTATAGGCACAGGTGCCTGCAATTGGACACATTTAATTTCTTTAAAAAAGTTCTTTATTGTTGAAAGTATTATATGAGTCTCCTTTTCTCCCCTTTGACCTCTCCCAGCCCGTTCCAGCCCCCCACACAGACCCTCACTCCCCCAGTGTCTGTGTCCATTGGTTATGCTTATATCCATGCACACAAGTCTTTTGGTTGCTCTCTTAACCCTCCTTCCACCTTCCCCTTCCTTCTTCTGAGGTTTGATGGTCTATTCAATGCTTCTGTGTCTTTGAATCTATTTTTGTTCATCAGTTTATGTTCATTATATTCCACAAATGAGTGAGATATTGTGATACTTATCTTTCTCTAACTGGCTTAGTTTGCTTAGCATAATGCTCTCCAGATCCATCCATGCTGTTACAAATGGTCATTGTGTAGGTGTGCCACAGTTTTTTTTAATCCACTCACCTGCTGATGGGCACTTAGGTTGTTTCCAAATCAGATATTGTAAATTGTGCTGCATATATCCTTTCTGATTGGTGTTTCTGATTTCTTGGGATCTATTCCCAGAAATAGGGTTACTGGGTCAAATGAGAGTTCCATTTTTTCATTTTTGAGGAAACTCCACTGTTCTCCACAGTGGCTGCACCGGTCTGCATTCCCTCTAGCAGTATACAAGGGTTCCTTTTTCTTCCCATTCTGACAAGTGTGAGATGGTACTTCATTGTTTGACTTGTATCTCTCGGATTATTAGTGACTTTGAGCATGTTTTCATGTGCCTTTTGGCCTTCTGTATGTCCACTTTTGAAAAGTGTCTATTTAGGTCCCTTGCCCATTTTTTGATTGGGTTATTTATCTTACTTTTGTTAAGTTGTATGAGTTCCCTGTAAACTTTGGAGATTAAACTCTCATCGGAGGTAACATGGCAAATAAATTCTCCCACTCAGTGAGCTCTCTTGTTGTTTTGTTGATGGTTTCTTTTGCTGTGCAGAAGCTTTTTATTTTGATGTAGTCCCACTTGTTTATTTTCTCCTTAGTTTCCATTGTCCTAGGAGATGTATCAGTAAACATAATGCTGCAACATATGTCTGATATTTTGCTGCCTATGGATTCTTCCAAGATTTTTATGGTTTCCCATCTTACATTTAAGTCTTTTATTTATTTTTAGTTTATTTTCGTATGTGGTATAAGTTGGTGGTGTAGTTTCTTTCTTTTTTCTTCTCCTTTTATTTGCAAGTATTTGACCAATTTTCCCAGCACCATTTTCTGAAGAGACTGTCTTTTTTTTTTGTTTTTAATATATTTTATTGATTTATTACAGAGAGGAAGGGAGAGAGATAGAGAGCTAGAAACGTCGATGAGAGAGAAACATCGACCAGCTGCCTCCTGCACACCCCCTACCAGGGATGTGCCCGCAACCAACGTACATGCCCTTGACCAGAATCGAACCTGGGACCTTTCAGTCTACAGACCAACGCGCTACCACTGAGCCAAACCGGTTTCGGCTGAAGAGACTGTCTTAACTCCATTGTGTGCTCTTGCTTCATTTGTCAAATATTAATTGAACATAATGTCTTGAGTCAATTTCTGGGTTCTCTGTTCTATTCCATTGGTCTATATGTCTGTTCTTGTGCCAGTACAAGGCAGTTTTGAGAACAGTGGCTTTGTAATGTAAGTTAATATCTGGTATTGTGATCCCTCCAACTTTATTGTTCTTTCTCAAGATTACTGTCACTATTCGGGGTCTTTTTTTATTCCATATGAATTTTTGGAGTTTGTTCTAGATCTGTGAAATATGCCGTTGGTATTTTAATGGGGATTGTATTGAATCTATAGATTGCTTTGGGTAGTGTGGACATTTTAATGATGTTGATTCTACCAATCCATGAATATGAACATGTTATATTCTTCCACTTATTTATATCTTCCTCTATCTCTTTTTTCAACATCCTGTAGTTTTCCAAGTATAGGTCTTTTTCCTCGTTAGTTATGTTTATTCCTAAGTATCCTAATTTTTTTGTTGCAATGATAAATGGGATTTTTTTTTAGTTTATTATTGTTGTATATAATCTCTTCTTAAAAGAATAATATGAATATATTATATTCTTAACTTATTATAATTTCAGGAATCCATTTCCCTTATTGACTATAAATTCCTCTGTAGGCTGAGCTGTCTGATTTATATTCATTGTGACACAAATGAAAAAGTGCTCTATTGCCTACTCAGTGTTTACAACATTGTTTTTCAGCCCTATACCAGAGATTTTTATTTCAATGAACTGTAGTAGGTCCTTCATCAAGTGATTTTACTGGGTAGCGAGGGTTGACAACTCTGGTTTACAGTCTTACCTTGAAATTTTCCAATGCCCACTGCCAAATGGGTCAGGGACCTTAATTAAACAGAACTGAGCAGCCTACCTGAGAAAGAGTTCAAAGTAATTTCATAAAGATGCTCACCAATCGTGCAAGAAGAATTGATTAATTCAGTGAGAACTTCTACAAGGAGATAAAAAGTGCCAAAGAGCAAATATAAATGAAATGAAAAATATACTAGAGGGATTCAACCGAAGTCCAGATAAAAATTAGCACAAATCAACAAGCTAAAAGACAAAGCAACAAAACACACCCAGACAGAGCAGTGAAATGAAAAGGAATTTTTAAAAGTAAATACACTTGCCGAAACCAGTTTGACTCAGCGGTAGAGCATCGGTCTGCGGACTGAAAGGTCCCAGGTTCGATTCTGGACAAGGCCATGTACCTTTGGTTGCGGGCACATCCCCGGTGGGGGGTGTGCAAGAGGCAGCTGGTCGATGACTCTCTCATCGACATTTCTAGCTCTCTATCTCTCTCCCTTCCTCTCTGTAAGAAAAATCAATAAAATATATTTTAAAAATAAAAAAATAAATAAATAAATAAAAGTAAAGACACTTTCAGCACCCCATGGAACAACATCAAGCAGAATGACATTTGCATTGTAAGAGTCCCAAAAAGAGAAGAGAAGATCAGAAAAATCATTTGAAGAAATAATAGCTATAAGCATCCTATCTGTGAAAGAAAACATATCCAGGTCCAAGAAGCTTAGAGAAATCCAAATAAGATGAATCCAAAGAGAACCACACCAAGACATATTATAATTAAAATGGCAAAAGTTAAGGGAAAAGAGAGAATCTTGAATGCAGACAGAGAAAAACAACTTATTATGTATAAGGGAATTCAGATGGTTCTGATATATTCATAATATTCAAATTGTTTTATAATTATACATTATCTTATTGGTAAATCTTAGTACCTTATGCTTTTTTCTCCTTGTGAATTCTTTTCTACTTTCATAAATATTAGAAATTATATTTAAATTTTTTATATGTTCATCTGTTTAGACCAAAATATTTAGACCAGCCTTAGCTGGTTTTGCTCAGTGGATAGAGCATTGGCCTGTGGACTGAAGGGTCCTGGGTTGGATTCCAGTCAGGGACACATACCTCGTTTGCAGGCTCGATCCCCATCCCTGGATAGGCTGGAGTCTGGCTGTGTGCAGTAGTCAAGTGATTGATGTCTCACATGAATGTTTCCCTCTCTCTCTCTCTCTCTCTCTCTCTCTCTCTCTCTCTCTCTCTCTCTCTCTCTCTCTCTCTCTCTCTCTTTAAAAAAATCAATGGAAAAATATCCTCGGATAAGGGTTAACAAAAAGTATAAAAATAGGCCTTCAAGTAAAAGGCCTATTAAGTGCTGTTATATGGTTAGAGTAGGTTTGTGAAATCTGCATATGATGTAAGATATGGTCTCAATTGTATTCATCATGCAGATGCTACTGAAGTGCATTTGCATATTACTAATCACCCTTTTAGGCATGTATTGTTAATATACCTTTTCAATGAAAAACTATTTGAAATTAAATCTACTGAAAAGTTGCACAATCATTATGTTATTAATTTGTTATGTGGAAATGTTATTTATGTTATTAATTTACTATTAGCTTGCAATGTTGAAGTCAGTTGGTGAAACTCTTAATGGTTCCTTAAGTGACTTCTCTGAATTTATTCTCTAGACGGACCTAAACTGCAGTAATCCATTTACTCCTGTGGAGAGGAGACATCGAGAACATGCCAGACACATTTCCTTTGGTGGTAATCTGATTACCTTTTCACCCCTAAGGGCCCTCAGAGGGGAACAACCAGAAGAACTTTGAATGTAAAAATAATTCCAAACATTTTCCTTCTTATTATCAATGCTGTGGGGTATATTCTTAGAATACCAAAAGGTTGAAGACTGTACTTTTGTTCGCTTCTACGCAACCCATTTATATGGTGTCATGTAATATTTTACATAATACTCAGTGTTCATCCAAGTGTGTTTTACATATGATACTGTTTCTAAGGGAAGTGGGGATATTTTTTACAACAGCCATGCAGACAGAATAAAAGATATACCATGCCTTGCCTCTCTTCTTTAAGATGTATAAGCTTAAAGCTAACAACACTTACTCGGCTTATGAGTAAGCTTCAACTTAATGAAAATATAATACTAAACTTTGACAGAAATATTTGTATCCTTTCATACTTTATTTTTAGTTTGAACTTTAAATTTGTCAACGTTGAACAGCTTTGCATATTGATTTTCCAGGGTATACTGAGTTTCTTTGGATGAGCTTTCTGGCTCACCTGTCAGTTTGCATGTTACAGTTTCAAATGGTTAACTAAGTGCCCATTAAATTCCTGCCTTTCCCATTTTCCCCTTCACATGAATGACAGGCTTTGAAGGAAATTCCTTCTTCCTTTGAAGAAAATTATGTCAGTCGAAACCGGTTTGGCTCAATGGATAGAGCATCGGCCTGCAGACTCAAGGGTCCCGGGTTCGATTCTGGTCAAGGGCATGTACCTTGGCTGTGGGCACATCCCCAGTGAGGGGTGTGCAGGAAGCAGCTGATCAGTGGTCCTCTCTCATCGATGTTTCTATCCCTCTCCCTTCCTCTCTGTAAAAAGTCAATAAAATATATATTTTAAAAAAAAAGAAAAGAAAATTATGTTAATCACTTAATCTCTTTTATAAAAATCTTAGCTATAGATTTGTAGAAGGCAGGGCTGTCAGAATAGCAGAGCACCAAGAAGATTCAGAGTAGCTAAAGCTTGTACCCAGGCCCAGTTATTTCTGCCTTCAAGTTGAAAAATAAGCAAGAACTTTATGGGTAACACCCCCTTCTCCACCAAGATTAGGGGTTTTCAAACAAGAAAACACATGTTGTTTTGTTGTCATAGGAAGGGTGTTAGGCTTTTGGGAAAGACAGTATTTATTAAATCCATGTAAGCAATTCTGAAGCTGTGTGGGGTGCTGACTTAGAAGAATATTCTCTAGCCGAAACCGGTTTGGCTCAGTGGTAGAGCGTCGGTCTGCGGACTGAAAGGTCCCAGGTTCGATTCCGGACAAGGGCATGTACCTTGGTTGCGGGCACATCCTCAGTAGGGGGTGTGCAAGAGGCAGCTGATCGATGACTCTCTCTCATCAATGTTTCTAACTCTCTATCCCTCTCTCTTCCTCTCTGTAAAAAATCAATAAAATATATTTAAAAAAAAAAAAGAATATTCTCTAAATGCCTGAAGTCTTAGCAAAATATGAAAATAGCTTTTATTCATTAACAGACTGTAATTGAACAATTCAAGTAAGACAGGCAGAACAAAGTAGTATATATAAAAGTTAGAGTTTTCTAAGGGCTCAAGAATGAATATGTAAAAGATATTGGTGCAAAGTAACCCAAGGCTTAGAATCTATGGTGGTAAGTTTGATAAGGTGTACTAGTGAATCATTTAGAAAGTTTTTGCTGCTATATAATAATAAAATGAACTCAAACTGGCTTAGCAATAAGGAAATATATTTCGTAAGTTGATCAGCTGCCTTTTGCACACCCCCCACTGGGGATGTGCCGGCAACCAATGTACATGCCCTTGACCGGAATCGAACCCGGGACCTTTAGGTCCGAAGGCCGATGCTCTATCCACTGAGCCAAACCGGTTTCGGCTATTTTTTGTAATCTTTATCATTGTTTGTAAAATTTATAATTTTTTAATTCGACGTGTCCATTTTTTTTTGGTCGGTATTCTTTTCTATTTTTTTGTTATTTTGTATTTTCCTTTGTGCTTTATATATATAAATAAACGAAAATATATATATATTTCATTTATTTTCATTAAGTATAAATAAAAAAAAATAATTTGAAATTACATCCTCCGGGCGTAACGTACTGACACGCCCTGTGAAAGAGTACGCGCCCGTTACAGGTTGCGTCATTAAAAAGGGAACTCCCTGGTTAACAGGTTAACAGTTCAATGTTGACATCAAGGTCCAACATTCTGTTGTCCTTCCCCCCCTCCTCCCCTTCATTCTGTTGTCCTTGGCACGTGTCTGAAGCTGAGTCCTTTGGGGTCATAATGTGGCTGCTAGTGGTAATCAGAGCTGTGTTCTTTCCTGTGGTCTAGTTAGACCAGCTAATGCCACATGTCTCTCTGCAGTAAGACTGAGGAGTGGGGGGATTGGCTTAAACTAATGATTCCCTACTGAATCTGGGATCATACCTGAATAAAATCACAATTATTAGGACATCGGGAATGGATTTTTGTGTTGGCAGCTATCAGTGTCCCCTACAAATAGATAGTGTTCTTGGGATATTGGACTCCAGAATTATGAGGTATTAGGAAAATCCTTAAAGACTAAATGAAAGAAAATTGCTTGGGTAGAACAAAACCCTTTCCAAAATCAAAAGGGAATTTTCATTTATTGATGACCTATTATATCATAGCCCCTTTGCTACATATTTCTTTTTCTTAATATATTTTATTGATTTCTTACAGAGAGGTAGGGAGAGGAATAGGGAGAAACATCGATGAGGGAGAAACATCAATCACCTGCCTCCCGCACACCCCCTACTGGGGATGTGCTTGCAACCAAGGTACATGCCCTTAACTAGAATCAAACCTGGGACCCCTCAGTCCTCAGGACGACACTCTATTCACTGAGCCAAACCAGTTAGGGCTCTACATATTTCTTTTACCCTTGAGTCCCTTGTTCATTATCAAGAATAGACTGCCCCAGATTAATGACAAATAAATAGTTAGCTCTTAGAATATTTATTAAGTGGATGATTTATAAGAAGGATATTGAATAAAGGCAAAATTTTTCACTTTGAGCATGAAACTTTTAAATGGGTAAAGTTTACATTCCTTTTTAATTTTTAAAAGATTGCTGCGTTAAGGTTATGTCGGTGTGTGAAATAGAAGTGAGACTGATGTCACCAGAAGCTACCAATGATTTGATATCCTTGAGATTTTTCATCCGGTGATTGTACATCAACAAGTGATTGTCATTGACTGCAACCTTGAAGTGCTGGGATTCAACCAGTACTAGTATCTGAAATGGCACATACACAAAATGTTAGAAATGACCCGTTGATTCCAAAACCAGTCTGTCCTGAGCTCAAGGTGTCCACATTTCATCTTTTGTGGAACAGATTAAAATCCTGAAAAAGTAACTTTACAGCAAAAAATAAATTCCAGACTATTCAAAAATTTACACAAAATAAAAATGACAAATTTTAGAATATATATAGTTGAAGCCACAAAGGAATAAATACTCTTTACATAAATGATGTATCTACATAAAAGAATGTGTCTACATAAAAAGTTTTCATATGGCCTACAGCATCTAAAAGTAAAAATAAACACTAAAGTAGGTATCCCCTAACAGATCAGCAAATGCTATGAAGTTGGATAATGACCACTTTGGGCAAGAAGAGGGAAAACAGTCTCCCAATAGTGAATGTGTTTAACTCTTACACCCTTTTTGCACTTTGGCAATATCTCAGTTTTAAACATGTATATTTTAATAAAATTATTCTTCTAGAAAGCAAAGAAGAATAAGCAAAGTTAGTACAGTATTTTAGTAAAATAAATAAAACCTTCCCAGATTTTATTGGTAATATTTCCAAAGTTTCATCAATAGAGTACTGGTTGAATTATCACATATCTAAACAATGAAATATATCTAAACAATGTTCTGATACTGAAAGATTATACATTAAATGTAGAATATGGTCCTTATTTGTCTCTCCCCTTAAGGATCTTCTAGTCTAGTTGCGTCATTACCCACTCTACAGTCAATCCAACTAGTACTATGAACCTACTAAATATTTGGTGAAGCAGTGCTTAAAAATCAAAAGTGCTGTATGTCATATAAAATACTGGAAAGGTATTCACTAAGTTGAAACCTTCAAAATGTAAAGGATAGAGAACATTTTCAGTTAATTTAAAAGTTTATATATTTTTATTTTCCTAAGCATTATTAATTTTAGGATTAAAATACAATATTTTGACTGTGCCGTACACCTGAAATTAATATTAAATGTCAACTAATTTAAGTTAATTTTTAATTTAAAAATGTTTTGGTTTCTATGTCACTGTGTTTTTTTAAGGAACTAAGTCTCAGTCCTTCTGAGACTTTCTGCCTTTTTTATTAAAGATGCTATTTTTCTCATTTCCAGAAAAGCTGAAATTCTGAGGTAACAGTGAGGAGCTGGGGAGTGTGCCCCTAGTTCTGTTCCAGCCTACTGATAATCATGGGCGCCTGGGATGGGGAGGAGTTGATTAGGTGTCCCAGGATAGCTCCCCCAAATTCACTTCAAAGTGCATCACAATTTTAGAGTGATTTTCCTATGAGCGATACACATTACCAATACATAACAATAGCAATAACTTACTTTGAATGGTTTACCAGCTTCAAATGGGAAAGTCGCCGTTCTTTCTTCTTGTCCCCATCTATTATTTATGTTTGTATTGCAAACAATGACTTTCTCGTTGAAACGTGGGTTAAAGTGGAAGGCGATATCATTCCTTATCTTGAAATCTAAAACAAAACTGTACAAACCAAAGGCAAGAGTTAGTAAAATGATTCAAGTTTTATATTTGCATCAAGTGAAGAATACACAGAAGAATACAGGGAAATTTTCTTAACAGAAAACAAACCAGAGAATGTGTTCGAACTATATATTAGGCCCAATATTAGTAAAATACTAGAAGTAAAACAGTACGTGCTGAATTGTTTTTGCCCAGCTGTCTTTGGTCATATTCTCTTCATTTGTAAATCCCCTATTTTTCCTTCTACTCATGAAAACCCTTCAAGGTTTCCTTATAGAGGTTTGAAGCCACTTTAAGGGCAGGTTATGCTTTCCATTGCAGGTGACATGCCCTGCAGGTTTCTTTTAATCCCTATTGATGGCAAGCCAGTCACATAAATAAGAGGTCAACTTCCTGGCTTCCTCCTAGTTAACCAAAAACCTAGTCCTGAAACAGAATGAGATTATGAACTTAAGGTCCTGTTGCTACCTTGTGAAATCATGACGATGTGTTGAACTTTCCATAATGTGAAGTGGAATTGATGCAAGTGCTGGCTTAACTTTTTGACCTCTTTCCTTCTCCTTGGATGTTAACACAAACACAAGTCCCCTGACTATTAAAGTACTAACCCCACCCCCCAATTTCTCAAAGTGTGCTCCACAGAGCACCAACATCAGAATCTGCTAGTATTCTTGTTTTAAAACAGAATCTGCACTCCTGACCCACTAATAATAATTCCCTGGGTGCTGAAACCAGGTTGTCTCAGTGAATAGAGCATCGGCAGCAGACTGAAAGGTCCCGGGTTCTATTCCGGTCAAGGTCATGGTTGCGGACACATCCCTGGTGGGGGAGGGGGGGGTGCAGGAGGCAGCTGATCGATATTTCTAGCTCCCTTTCTATAAAAAAAAAATCAATAAAATATATATTTAAAAAATTAATAAAAATAATTCCCTGGGTATTTGGATTCACCCAGTGACAGACCCAACCATAGATGTATTCACAGGGAAAGGATCAAAAGAGTCAAATGGCAATAGAAATAGTATTTGACCAAATATCCAATGGCTGAAGATATGGTCATCTCTACCACCTTAAGCATTCCCTTTTCTTCTCATTCCTTACATGGAATGTGCAGGACCAAGCAACAATTATTTCAGTTTCCTATCGCCTTGGCCATTTCAACCAAAATTAGTTTGTTTTTTGTTTTGTTTTGTTTTTAAATATATTTTATTGATTTTTATACAGAGAGGAAGGGAGAGAGAGAGAAACATCGATGAGAGAGAGTCAATGATCAGCCGCCTCTGGCACACCCTCTACTGGGGATATGCCTGCAACCAAGGTACATGCCCTTGACCAGAATCGAACCCAGGACCCTTCAGTCCCCAAGATGACACTCTATCCATTGAGCCAAACCGGTCCCGGCCCAAAATTAGTTTTGATCTACCACAATCTCAGTCTACATCTCTGATGTAATTAGAGTTTAAGTTTCCAGAACAATAACCCTAAATAAAGACAAAGATACAGTGTAGTTCTGTGGGATAAGGGTTGAAAGAGGGGAGCAGAACTTAACAAATTGTGCCCTAGATGGTTTGGCTCAGGGATAGAGCATCAGCCTGCACACTGATGGGTCCCAGGTTCTATTCCAGTCAAGGGCTCCATCCACCCCTCGCCCCCAGTAGGGGGTGTACAGGAGGCAGTATGGCAATGATTCTCTCATCACTGATGTTTCTATCTCACCCTCTTAACTTCCGCTCTGAAATCAATAAAGATATATTTTTTTAAAATTAACAAATTGTGAATGTGTATGCACAGAATACGGTGTACTTATTGGGAGGAAAGATGGATAAGCGCATGGGCAGAAGGATATATATGTTTTGTAATTTTCCGTAAGATAAGCTTTAGAGTAGAAGCCAGAGGAAGCTGGCTAGAGGTTGGAGTGAATGGGCTATTTGAATGTAAATTGAACCGATCAGAAGCCAGTACATCTCCTGGTAACAGAGGAGGTGGTTCTTGTTGATTCACCAGGAGCAAGGTGACAGACTCATAGAGGCTGTCTGTGGATCCTTGAATAAACCTGTGTACACAGCTTGAGTCAGTATCTTTTGTATACTACTTATAAGACCCAGAGACATTAATTAATGGCTGCAGGAGCTTTAGTGGTACCACTAACCTCAGCAGACTGGAGGGCTTTAGGATAGATATCCTTAGTCTGTTTGTATTATATGTAAGCATAGTCAGGGATGATCACCAGAGCTGGGCATCCCAGGGCAGCCACAAGTCAGCATGGATTTCTCTGAAGCAGCTTAAGGTCTTATCCCTCCTAGCTCACCTCAGTCAAACCAGTTCCAATGGAAAAGGTTGACTTCTTTGAAACTTTTCTTTTTCTTTTTTTAATATATTTTATTGATTTTTTACAGAGAGGAAGAGAGAGAGAGATAGAGAGCCAGAAACATCGATGAGAGAGAGACATCGACCAGCTGCCTCCTGCACATCCCCTACCGGGGATGTGCCCGCAACCAATGTACATGCCCTTGACTGGAATCGAACCCGGGACCTTTCAGTCCGCAGGCCGATGCTCTATCCACTGAGCCAAACCGGTTTCGGCAAGAAAAAGTTGACTTCTTTGGATGAACAATCTTTTCAGACCTTTCAAGTAAATAGTGAGTACTCAGAAGACAGGGTTCCCCACCCTGACACTTGTCATCTGTAGACCAGGCCAACACCATGGGAATCTGTGACTCTGCAGTGGTACCCACTGTGAAGACGGGCATGGCAGCCAAGCTCGAGAGCTGAGACCTGTGTGCTGCAGGGAGACTTGCATGAGTGTGAGGACACAGTGTGGGATACCATTCAAGCTTTCAGATCCACTCACCACTATGACACGTGAGACTTCTTGCTTTGGAATCCTCATTTTTTATGGTTATCTAAAGTGCATGCTTGGCTTTTCAGACACTATAGGCTTCAGAGTGAAGGGATGGCCAAACATGACATTACAGAGACTCTAATGGCCATTAATGCTAAAGCTTTCCCTTGCCAGGAGGAACCCAGCTCTTCCTCTTTCTCCTCACAATGTAGAGCTCAGTTCCATTCAGGTTCTGGGAGAAAACCAAGACTTGGCGAGGGAAACCTTGTCTCGTTGGTGGGAACACGAATTGATTTATGGAGTAAATCCCATACTATGGAAGAGCCAAGACTCTTAAATGTGTAGTTTTAGAAATTCTATTGAATTTCAATGGCGATCAGTCTTTATTCAAAAACCAATCAACAAATGTGTTAGATATTTAAAGTTTGCTCTTTACCTCTTTGCATTGAGATTCACTATACCCATCACTGTTATCAGCATGTGGGGCATGAGTCCTTCAGGGAAAACATTTTCATAAGGCATAGTCTGGGAATGAAAAATATGTGTATTAATAGAGAGTCATGTTTTCTTGGGGAAAGAAAGAAAAAGAAGTTGCTAATGCTCAAACACTTAATACATGTGACTAACATATAACCTTAAGTTAAGCCATCTGTCAGACTCTCGGGCCACCTTGCCCAGGGCCTGAAGAGGTAAGTTCCCTACATGCACAACTAATAATTGAGAATTAAGCCATTGTTAATTGATGCCAAAGGCAGAACATAGTTCTTTTTGGAGCATTGTAGCTCTAACTACTAGGGCCATTCCGATCTATAACTCATTATTTTTTTAGACTATCTTTTGAAGGGGCTTAAGCTAGACCTTGCAATCAACATTACCTATTTTAGGCCACTCTTAAGGCTCTTATCACATAACATATTTCATTATGTCACATTCTTGGGCTTCTGTGTTCTCATATGTTTTACTCTCAGCATCAGCAGAGTACTTAGTGTGTGGCAGATACTCAATATTTGTGGAATAAACATCTTCCAGTTAATACATTTCCTAGTTCATTCCGCAAATAGTAGGTACTGTAAATATTCCCCAAATCTCCATCATTGGCCTCTTCTTTTTTCCCTTTTAAATTCCCCCTACCCCCAGGTCCAACTATTATCCAAGTCTTTTATCTCTAGCCCTGATCAGTACTAGCCCAGTACTTCCTCCTTCTGGATTTGCTACTGGTGCTGCAGATTCAACAGGTATGAACTGGAATTGTCTCTCCTGCTTCCTCTCCAGCCAATCCTTTTTTTGGTGCCCTAGATATCCTGTCTTGAAAAGCCAGTCATTTCTGACTCCTAAGACTTAACCAGCAGACCTAAGGTTCTCCCTCTGTAGCCTCTCTCCCAACTGCCTCTTCCTTTGTATAGACTCCTTGTTCCCCTGTATCTGCAGTGGACTAACCATCTGGATCTAGACCCTGCCCAATGCCACCCACACCCCCAACGCTTTCTCTGCACTTTCCTCTAAGTTGACCTAAAAGCAGATCAGATGCCACCTGTGCCACCTTCTACCTACTCCTGAAAGGATCTGCTCCCAGGCTGTTATTGAACTCTTTCCTCATATCTGCTTACTTCCCAGCTGGACTATAACTCTAGAAGGGAAGGATCTGTGTCTGAGATGTGTCTAAAGCCCTACAGACTTAAGGTTTTGTGCGTAGAATTTCTTTACTAAAATGCATTTTAATATAAATGAAAATTCTATCCTTAAATGACAAAATTATCTTTAGAAGGTTTTTTTTTAAAACTAGATTATCTTGGTTCTTCTCCCCCCATGTTCTCTCTATGGTCCTGGGCAAGGTAATATAATGCTATTGTCCCATTTCTTCATCTGGAAAGGGGATAATAACAGTATCTTATCAGGTGGTTATGGGTTCAAATGAGATCATTCAAATGTAGAAGCACACTGCTGGACATGCTGTCTACACAGTGTTTATTAATACTAATATTGAAAACTTTCTCCCATTACTAAGCTCTTAAATTGATTTTTATTAAAGCTGTTTTACAGCTGCCTTCAACAGATGCATTAGCTTCTCTTTATGCCAACACTGCACATGCTAAACTCAATACAAATAATGATTTTTTTTCTATTGGATGAGCATACACTGTGCTATTCCTAGACTATGGCCCTAAGCAGTGAGAGTAAAGCTTCAGGTCTCCCTGCAGCGCTTTGCAAGGGTGAGTGCCCAGAACCAGCTAATGGCACCACAGCCCACACAATGGCCGTATTCTCCATTAGCTTTGTCCTGGTCACAATCAAGTGCATGAAATGACTGATTCCATCTTACCAGTCTTCCAGCAGGCACATTTGGTTGTGGAAGGAAGATGTCTTGGGTATTTTGTCCGGGATAAGCAGGTTGTGGAGGGTCAAGGGAGGATTGAGGAGGTACCTGTCCAGGGTAGGAGGCAGGAGGTGTCTGCCCGGGGTAGGCAGTAGGAGGTGTCTGCCCGGGGTAGGCAGCAGGAGGTGTCTGCCCGGGGTAGGCAGTAGGAGGTGTCTGCCCGGGGTAGGCAGCAGGAGGTGTCTGCCAGGGGTAGGCAGTAGGAGGTGTCTGCCCGGGGTAGGCAGTAGGAGGTGTCTGCCCGGGGTAGGCAGTAGGAGGTGTCTGCCCGGGGTAGGCAGTAGGAGGTGTCTGCCCGGGGTAGACAGGAGGTGTCATTCCCGGGTAGGCAGCAGGAGGTGCCTGCCCGGGGTAAGTCCCAGGATAGGCAGCTCCCGGGTAGCCTCCTGCCCCAGCAGGTGGGTTTCCCCATGGACCGGGCCATCCTTGAGGGTTGGGGTTCCCAGACTCAGCTTTGGCATCATTAAGCTGGAAAAAAAGATACAAACAATTCCTGGGTGAAAAACATTCACAAAAACAGAATTTTCAGGAAAACAGGAATAAGACATCCAAAGTGGAGGGACATATGAAAATATACAACTCATATCCATAAAAAATTTTCCATCTTTTATATAGTTTTGAGTTCCCAAGACTAAAATTAGACTTTGGGATTACATGCACTTTATCAGTACATGTTGCCCATCATCTCATATTGTGCAGGGTTGCATTTTTGTAACTTGCTGAAATAGAGCTATCCATCCTCAATGTAAAAGCATGTATTTTCTAACTGACATGAGAAAAATAATCACAAAAATCAGGATGCTCAGACTTACCGCACTTCCCATTGTCGGGAATATTTCTCAGCTCCAGGCCCATGGAATATTTTTCAGCTCCTGGCCCATGGAATCCACCCACTTCAGTCCCAGGCCTTTGGTTGAGGGGCTCCTCTTAGTGAGACCCAGGCCTCTCTACCTGGCTTTCTTCCCAAATCTATTACTGGAAAAACATGACTCTGGCCAACAAACCCTCATTAGACAGGTGAGGCCAGAGGAAGACACCAGGCGTTAGAAGGGAAAGTCTGGTGTTGAAAACAAAACTCTCCACCTACATATGATTAGAAAGTAAGACAGCAGACATAGAACACTTACCCAAGAGCTGTCCATTTTCCTGAGATGAGAAAAAAAAAAAAAAAAAGAAGATAGGTTACGATTTGATCTGAAAAGATTTCATGAGTTTCCATTTAAATTGAACATCACAAGTAGTTTGTTGTGTAATTCTAGTCCATTTACGGGCATTCTTCTAGCACAAGGCAATCTGTTTCCAAAATACGTCTAAATCAATAGCATGGAACCACAATGGGGTCTCATCAGATCGTGGAGATGCACTCCAACTGGATTAGCAAACCCTCATTAACCCGTAGCTTTTGGCTCCCATCACACTAGCAGGTGTTCTGAATCCTGGGAGTGCCAGGCCGTACAACGCAGGAGAGAGAAGATTGAGGGCGAACACGTTCTGCCCCTTTCCTGGGTAACGAATGCGCACAGTCCTGGCTTCACTTTGGTCCTCCTTCACTGTCCTTCCTGTGTTCCTTCACCCAATACCTCTTACAAAGGCCCTGCATGTTAATATCAACCTCCCCCGCATCCCCTGGTTCCCACAGACAGCCCCTTGCCCTCTTCTGGTTTTAGGAAGAAAGCAGAGGTGGTTGATTCTTAGGATCTGAAAGACATGCCCCTCAGATATAGTTCTGCCGATTATTGGTTCCTTCTTGTGCACACATTTGTGCCTGTTCTGCACGGGTGTGGTGCAGGCTCCTGCCTGGGTGTGAAGATGGACAGGCCAAGGCCTGTGTGGTCAAAGGCTCCACAGGCCGGAGGGATCACAAACACCCATGCCATGAGCCAGACGGTGTGCTTCAGGAAGTCACAACCAGGCTCTTAGAAGCAAGGGGAGGTGTTTGAGCTAAGCCTTGGTTGTGGAGCAATGAAAAAGTCAGGCAGGCACAAAACGCTTGCTGTTTTGAAAAAGTACATGTTGTTCCAAGTGAGATATTTGGCATTATAACAGATTAAAGTTTTTTGTTTTTTTTTTAAAGTTGGGCAATGTGGAGGAAAATATTTTGGGGTGTGCCTTGCCCAAAGCTGCCTCAGGGGTTGGCCTTGCTTGACACACCATTCCTACCTTCTCCTGCTCCTCCTTGTAACTGCCAGGGTGTTTGATACCTGCTTCCACGGCAGACACTCCAGCACTGAGGGGAGGAGGGCGGATTCCCAATCCTGAGGCCTGGGTGAGTTTTCCTGACTCAGGATCACCCATGCTATGGTCAAAATTACCTACTTGGACCTTAAACAGTCAGAATCTGGCTGAGACTGGTTTCGCTCAGTGGTAGAGCGTCAGCCTGCGGACTGAAAGGTCCCAGGTTCGATTCCGGTCAAGGGCATGTACCTTGGTTGTGGGCACATCCCCAGTAGGGGATGTGCAAGAGGCAGCTGGTCGATGTTTCTCTCTCATCGACGTTTCTAACTCTCTCTCCCTCTCCCTTCCTCTCTGTAAAAAAAAAAAAAAAAAACAACCAAAAAAAAACAAACCACAGAATCTGTTTTCCTTGAGTTGCTCACTCATGATATTTACTTGATTATTTTCTTTTTCCATATCTATATCTATCTATATCTATATCTATATCTATATCTATATCTATATCTATATATAATTGATTTCAGAGAGGAAGGGAGAGGAAGAGATAGAAGCATCAATGATGAGAGAAAATCCTGGGGATTAAATCTGCATCCCAGGCGTGGACTCTGACCTCCTGGTTCATAGGTTGACACTCAACCACTAAGCCACGCCAGCCGGGCTCAATTATTTTAAAAAATGACAGGGGATCCAACAAATGGTGACTATTCGATAGGTCCTAAAAACGTAAAATATTAGGTGTTTTGGTAAAAACTCAGACACAGCTCCTCTAGGACTCCATGTGTGCCTGCTCTGCACGGGCGTGGAGAATAAACACACACGGTATTTGATTCTTGCACACCTCTTTTATAACCTGGGCATTCTCAAACGTATTTGGAAGCACTGTGTCCATCTTCCAAGGCGGGGAAACCCCTGACTGAGAGATCCCGTGACTCTCCCAGGGCTTCCACTCACTGTGTTTCCTATAGGAATCTACCTTTGAAAGCGAAAGGCGGGTGGTCTTCTGCCTGTGCTTCCTTCCCCAAAAGGCTGCCACTGCCTAGGAAGCTGCTGCTACTCCCCGGGGAGCTTGAGAGAAGAGCTGTTACAGAAAAGGAAAAGAAAGGACATTACTTAAGCCAAGAAAATAAAGCCTCTCCTAGGATCACTTTGGACACTGGTAGAAAACAATCTCAAACTTCAAGGTGGACAGAGAGCTTAGTTCCTTTTACTGCATAAACGTCCACTCCTGGGCAACATACCAAAGACCCAGCAATAACTTGACAAGTATCTTTACTTCTTTTAAATATCGCCCTTGTGTAGGGGCTAATTCCTAACCTTGGCACCACTGACATTTCAGGTCGGATGCTTTGTGTTTTTTTGGTTGTTGTTTTGTTTTGTTTTTTTGGGGGGGAGTTGTGCATTGTAGGATGTTTAGCAGCATCCCTGCCTGGCTTTAATGCACAGTCAGCAGCGCCCCCAACCTCCCCACCCATTGTGACATAGAGATGTCTTCAGGCATTGCCACACGTCACTGGGGGAAGTGGGGAAGAGGCAGACTCTGTCTAGTTGAGAACTATTGGTCTAGATTGATTCTCACGTGATTCCCTACATATATGTGCACACACAGGTCCGTAAGAAACAAGGGTAGTTTCGATGATTAGAACTAGTCAAATCTGTGCCGTTGGCCTGATAAAGTGGCTTATTATCGTAACTCCAAATCAAACGAAGATGTGTTTATTAAAGGCAACCTGAAATTCACATAAAAATGACATTTCCAAAATTTAACATTTATTTTTTATAAAGTCTCTGCTCAAGCGCATTCAGTTCCTTTTCCAACGTGACCAGAACGATCTGAGGAACAAAGTCGATTCCCCTGCACGTCCTGCGTTTCCCACATGCCTCGGATGGCAGCGTGCGTTGTGCGGTGACACATTCGGTGAGCCCATCAGCATAACTGCAGCCTGCGTTCGTGTGGCGCTTTGCAGTTTACAAAGCACTTTCACATACCTTAGCTATTCTGAGTCTGGTAATAATCTTACGAAATTGACAGGGAAAAGTAAATATTCCCACTTTTAGAGGTGAGGTGACTGAGGCTCAGAGGGCTGACATGGTGGCCCAAAGTCATTCTGTCATTGGGAGGCCAAGGACCAGGGTCAGCAATTTGACCCCTAATTCAGGCTCATTTTATACTAATATCAAACCTCACACTTTGAAATCTGAAAGTGTGAACTACTTCATTTAGAAATGATGTAGCTTATTCGTTCAGAACTACATATCTTGCTGAGGTTGTAAACAAACTTGAAAGGAGATCATTATTTTTGTCAGGAACCTAGCTGGGTGACTCATTCAGTGTGCAATGATATTGAACACAGAATCCCATTGTGAACAGTCGCTGGGCTGATTATAAACACATTTAAACCAACAGCGCGTACTCTTCCAAAAATTGGGTGTGTCCTGTTTTGATTTTGTCAATTCATAACCATCAGATCTCTCTTTTTTTTTTTTAAAGGATTATAACCAATGATCCTTTTTTGTTGTCAATCCTCACCTGAAAATATTTTTTTCTGTTGATTTTGAGTGAAAGAGAGAGAGAGAGAGAGAGAGAGAGAGAGAGAGAGAGAGAGAGAGAGAGAGAGGGAAAGAGACACATTAATTGTTTGCCTCCTGCACCAATGGGCCCGGGAATCCAGCCTACAACTGAAGTGTGTGCTCTTCATGGGAATTGAACCTGCTACCATTCAGTTTGTGGGCTGATGCTCTATCCACTGAGCCAGGGCAACCAATGTCCTTTTGAAATCAAGGTCAGCCACCTTAGAACTTAAATAAATAAATACAACAATAAAGAACAACATCTATTTAGATAAATACCTTCCTTACTTGCCTGGAAAATGTATTTCTTTTTCTTAGATGAGTAGTTTATATCTAGAGAGACAATCAAATGTAAGAAAACTCTCCCCATGCAATTGAATCTATAATATGTGAATGCCATTCTGGCATTTCCAAAACCAGAGATTCTGAAGAGTCAGAAAAGAGACTCTATTAAAGAGAAAGCAAAAAAAAAAGGGGGGGGTGGTGGGAATTACTGCTGGGGTCTTCACCCTTGGAAAATCCTGCAGGAAGTGCTGCAGTTTGGTTTGGAATAAGGAACTTAAACATGAGCCCGCAGGTTGACTGTTAACTGTAGCTTTTCTCTCTAATAAAGAGCAGTGTCCACACTACTATGGTATTCCAGGCTCACCTAGCAATTAAGCCAGTAGCTCCGGCTCCCAGGAGCTCTTCTGCAATTTCTGCTCACAAAGGGCCCTGACTTTTACACAAGCCCTAAGGGAAGCTGGTCATGAGTGTGTTTCCTCAGAACCCCACGGCCCACACTTCTCTCCTACGAGCACAGGCAGGGCGTCGACTTCCTGATCTTGCTGAAACGCGGAGCAGGACTTGAGGAAAGTCCACTCTCCAGAGCCAAAGTCAGTGAGAATGAGCTGGAATAAAGGAAACTGGTCCTTCACTGGGATTTCTTGCTCATCATACTTCCTCAGCATCCAGCAAGGTAATGTTACTTTGTGCCTCTCCGTTACTGATTTTCTTTTTTTTTTTTCTTTTAAATATATTTTATTGATTTTTTACAGAGAGGAAGAGAGAGGGATAGAGAGTTAAAAACATCGATGAGAGAGAGTCATCGATCAGCTGCCTCTTGCACACCACCCACTGAGGATATGCCTGCAACCAAGGTACATGTCCTTGACCGGAATCGAACCTAGGACCTTTCAGTCCACAGGCCGACACTCTATCCACTGAGCCAAACTGGTTTCGGCTCCGTTACTGATTTTCGCTCCCCATGGAAAAGCTGATCATCGGTCAAGGCTGAACACATGATACTTAGCAGCAAATTGTAAGCCTGCAGCAAGCACTGTCTGGCAGGCTTACCACTCAGGATTGAACGAGCAGAACCCGGGGAGGCACCAGACGCTGTCCCAGCAGGAGCCTGTGTTCCC